AGGTACTATGGCCACTAACAGGCCTCTGGTACTTTGCCATACACAATTATTCATGTGTGAGCTCACACAGAAAGCGTCAGTAGGCTACTTGAACTTGGGGCATCACAGCTAATCCCTCGACGGTCCTCAGCTGATTTCCACACACATATAATTTTTAGCCAAGGTCAGTTGGAAACAATCAGGAATAAGTTTGCAGCTGATTTCCTCATCATCATTTCTTTCTCCTGTAATTTGGCCACTAGAATAAACAGAATATATGATATCTTTATGCAATTATATACAGGAAATAAATATTGCAATTTATTTTTTATGAACTCCCAAATAATTAGAATTGTTGCTCTCTGTTTTGATCCAAATAAATTTAAACTATGGTTGCTGTTAAATGTATTGAAAGTTATAAATTATTATTAATAATGTTTTTTGCTGCACAAATTACCATTTTAGCCTGAAGCTGGAACAATGTCCTTTAAGTTTGGTTAAAATGGTTTGAAACTAGTTTCTGCAGCAATACTTACAATAAGAGTCACATTCCAAAATTATTTTCCAGATGCGATTTGTATGGGTTACGTTTGCATAAATCAGCTTTATTCTCTTCAACATATAACATTCCAAAAAAGACTGGAAAAATTGACATGTAATGTCTCCCAGAAAACAACCACATTAAAAAATAATACATAGCTATATGTCCGTACTTCTCTAGACTGAACTAGCTAGACTGGGTATGTTCAGCAAGCTTTACTCCATATCTGTTGCGTATTGCGATCCATAAATTGGCTGCCGCATTCACCTAGAAATACAGTCACTATACTTTACAGTAAAATCCTGTGAAGCACTTTGTGATGCCTTGCCGCCATGATGAGATCTTATATCAAATGCAAGGATTATTATTATTTATTTATTTAAATGCCATAGAATCTTTTCTTTATTCTCCTTTCTCTTACAGATCAACTCTGACAATGAAGTGCTCACCCAGCACAGCATTGGAGAGTTAGCTGAGACTAGGAGTTCGAAGTCCAGGGGGCTTGAATCATAGAATCATAGAATTATACACCACAGAAGGAGCCATTCGTCCCATCGTTTCTGTGGCGGCTCTTTTAAAAGAGCTATCCAATTCAATCCCACTCCCTCGCTCTCTCCCCACAGCCCTGCAAACTTGTCCTCCCCAGAATCACATCTGTCTGACTCAGAGGTGAAAGTGCACCAATTTGAGCCAGGTAATACCTTGTCAGCAAGCTTTACTTAATTTTATTCAAAATTATCACACAATTTAAACATTAGAATCTAGCCTGAACCTGGATCATTTTGTTTCCATGTTCTCAAACCACATCACCTTGTGTTTAAGTACCCAGCTCCATAGATAAAAGAACAAAAGATTATTTCCCAATTCCTGCCCAAATCGATTGAGTCTTCATAGACTGCAGGCTTCAAACTGAATCATTAAATCATAACGTCAGCCTTTGAAAACAGTCAAGCAGTTTTGTATGAACTTTAGTATTTACTACATAAATTTGTAAAGAAATTCAATACTCATTTATTTCTGCCTTACACTTGGGCATTGTGAAATGATCAACAAGATTATATGCACCACATGTGGGTAGTGGAATACTCCTTAAACAGGCATCGCCTTCCTAAATTAGTTATCTTGCTAACCTATGACTGAGATAAATGCTCAACAATAAGTTTAACATTCTTTTATTGATATGCTTCTCTTTTTCACTAAAGGCAAAGTACTGCAGATACTGAAAATCTGGTATAAACACAGAAGTCACTGGGGACATGCAGCAGGTCAGGCAAATTAGTGCATATTTTAGGTTTTCTTAACGTTTCAGTCCTGAAATCTTAACTCATTTTCTCTCTCCTTGGATGCTGCCTGACCTGCTGTGTGTCCCCAGTGACTTCTCTTTTTCACTTTTGTCTTTGATTTCACCCGGCTGATAAACCCACTGAAAACCTGTTGCTTTTCTGATACTGCAGAATATTTGAATTCATCCAGAAAAAAATGTATTTTGATGGAAGCATTAATATGCTTATAGCTTTGAAGAATATTAAGGATTTATTTAACATTGGTGCTAACAACATTGCTTTCGCTTTAACATTTGCCACACACCAGCGACTGGCTTCTAGGATGTAATGGCATGGCTCTTCTTTGGTGAGGAGGTGGTTTGGGTGGCGACTGCAATCATAACCCAATGTTTTAACATGGAGTTAGCTTTACACTCAAGTTGAAAGATTCATAAATTAATACAGGATGCTCCTCGTGTTACAGTAACACACCCTATTTTTCAGTAATATGTGTAATTTTAGACGCTTGCTGATTTCACGCCTCTTTGTCGGGATGTATTTCTAGAGTTGCTAAGAACCTTCTGATAGCTCACTCAAGTAACCATTCTTCATAAATAAATAATCCTTGCACTTAATATTGAAGCTTTTCATGTCAAACCTTCAATGGATCATAAGTGATTATATAGTTGTGGCTGCATGTGATACACACTTTGCACACAGTAATATTTTACAAACAGCCATGAAGTGAATGATCAATTACATCTGGAGGACTTTTTGTCAGGACACCAGAGGAAACTCCCTTCTCTTTCTGGATAGTATCATTGGGATTTTATCATCCATCTAAACAGACCGATGGGACCTTGCCTTAAAGTTTCATCTCAAGAATGTGTTTAGGCTAGACAGTGGGTTATTTAACGATAGTGAAATTATGACTGAGCTCAATCTTGTCCTTAGCTAACAATCACCTCCAGCATTTCCCATCAGAGATGACTGACTGAGATTGGGAGGTGTAACTTACTCTAATCAGATAAAGCATCCCAACTTCTAGTCTTTCTGCAATTACCATAGACCTAGCAATAAAACCTGTGTCATTCTGTGTGGCCTAGTGCTACACCAACAGCTGCAACACCATTAAGTTAGGGTATTCCAAATGATGCTGATTCTTGGCATTTTACACAATGAGTCCCTTTTTCCCCAAATCGAAAGAGCCTGAAAATGTTATTTAAATATGTGCATTTTCATCTGCTTTGCAAGGCTTTTGTTTTGAAAGAGTCAGATTGTGATTAGTTGGTGATTTCTCCAGTTAAGTAGAAGACACGGAGAGCTTGGTGTTAACTCAGGGGCTGAGTAAGCTTTGGCCACTTGAGAAAATATATCTTCAGAGAAGATACAGCTGAGCCACAGCTAAATGGGCAAAATATAAGTTCAATAAGAGTGTGGTTGAGGGGGAAGGCAGCAAATGGCCAAGGTCCAACTGTCTTAATCATCTTACTTCATTAAGATTGATAAATGAGTAACATGGACCCCATCTAAACAGAATTGGGATCCAATTTGCTGGAGAGCTCCCAAAATGATATTCATATATATGTGTACGTATTGTATGTCTGTATGACTATAGGAAAGGCATAAAATAAGATCCCAAAATATTCATTAGCCAAATCCATATATGAGCAATAAGGATTATTATTATATAATATATAGTATATATGTGTATTGGTGTATTGGTATATATCGGTATTGCTCATATATGGATTTGACTAATGAATATTTTGGAATCAGCCATGGTACAGCTGTCATGATGAATGAAAGGCTGTCAAGAGGCAAAGGCAAAGACTGTGTTGCCAATTCTGATGTATTGCACAGTATTCCATTATCCAACACTGGCGAAGGTTGGAATGAACAAAGAATGCGGACTTTCAATACGGACTTTTCAATACGATAATTGCACTGGCTTTAGGGGATTAAGCCAGAGGCCGCTTCAAATTCATTTCATGCAAAAACAATTGTAAAATTCCTATTGAAACAGCCAGAGCCTTTGGGGACGGTAAAGCTTTGCATCAGATCACTATCTGAATGAATTTGCCATTCTAATCCATCATTAGTTAAATAATGAGCAGGTCATGTATGATCCTGAGTCTGGTTCGGACACGACTCAGATCGTTGTATTGATCTTATACCCTCTCCAACCCCTCTCACCGTGTCCAATTGCAAACATTGAATGTTGATAATTGGTATCAACCCTGAATCCACCTCTTTCCTCCCCACACAACCAACAATGCCAAAACATTCTCGCCAGATTTGGGACATGACCGGTGTCTTGAAAATGAACCGCATGACTGTGCTTCAGAAACAAATATCAACCCTGGGCATGTTCACTTTTAAAAATCTATCTTGCCTATACGCTTTGCTGCATCACTGAGCACAAGGTGCAGTACCTCACACATGGCACGTTGCCAACTGCACTGTTCACACTTGTTTTACGATGTTGTAAAGGGGAACATACTGAACATGGAACTACAATGTATGTCAACATCGCGCACAAAACACACACTTTTCAAAATAAGGTTGATTGCAAGTATTTAATACTTAAACTGAATCCTTTTGCATCGCTCCCTGAGAACCGCAGCATTTCACTTATTGTTCATTGGGATGAAACATACTGTATTGGTTTAATCTTCCCCTTCAGAGATGTTGGTTATGTTTCTTTTCAGCAGGAGCTTTACGATTGTTTTTGCATTAAAAATTAAAGGGACTTGAAGAGGACTCAGATTACTAAATAAGAGTTGGATAAAGAAACCCAGTTATACAGTTATATACAGTTATACAGAAGATGGTGATACACTGTTTTCAAAACCATGCAACTTCTTTCAAACGTATAATCTGTGTTTTTTTAAATAAAACTCTTTGCTCTAGAATAACATGCCCAATCTCGCAGGATTAAAAAAAAAGTTTTTTTTTTAAAATCAGGTCTGATAAAAACGCAATGCTTTGGGAAATTAATCAGCTTTAAAATGAAAGCTTGACTAATGTGGCAACAGACGGCAGATGTGCAGCTTGCTGGACTGCAGAGGTATAACACCAGTGGGACAGCCCTGCGATCCAAAAATAAACACCAGTAGTTAAAAGAAAACTGAAACCCACACACATTCTCTTCCACACTGTCTGGAAAACAGAATTGCATTCCCTGATCTTATACCCTCTCCAGCCTTCTTACTCACCTGCACAGCAGAGAGCCCACGGTTTGATGCCCACCTTATTAATAACGCAGACAGATGAAAGTAAAGTTCCTGCTACTTTGCTCTGAAACAAAATCAAACGTCGCATCTGATCAAGATTGCAAGTTTTTTCAGCAGGTCCGGATTTGCATTGGCGACGTCTCGAAGCAAAATAAAACATGCAGTGACTTGTTTTTTTTAAAAAAAACATATATATGTATTTCTGAGTACAAGTTGGGCTGCAAAGGATGATCTCTATCTATGCATCAAAAGCCTGTGTTCGGAAATCTCGGCTTTGGATGCATTTTTCTCTTGGGGGCTCTTTCGCTTTTAATAAAAGAAAAGGGGGAAAAAAAAACAATCAACTGCAACAGCGTTCAGGCACCAGAGCCCAAGTCCACGCTCGCCTTCCTCGTTGGCTCTGAGTGCTCTGGGCTGTCACGGGCTGCACTCGGGGAGACTTGACTTGTGAATCGGCTGTGAAGTCCTTCCCCCTTTAGATGGTTGTAATCTGCCAACGTCAGAGAGAGAGAGAGAGCGAGAGAGAGACTGCGAGCTCCACCCTCCAACACTTAACTCCTTTTGCAGAGTGTCTCCTTCCCTTCCCTTCCTTTCCTTTCCTCTCCTTCCATCGTTAACGATGCAATCCCAGCAGAGCGGCCGCAACTTTGCAATAAAGCATCCGACACGAGTCGGTTTCCCTCCAGTGGGACAGAGACGTCTTTTGTGAACATCTTTCAGGGCTCTGACACTTGGATCACAACAGCTCCCGGTGTGTGTCTGTGTGTGTGTGTGTGTGTCTGTCCTGCAGGTACAGTGACTCACTGGTGTGTGGGTGGAGAATCCGTGCAGGAATAGGTCGGGAAGTTCAACAGCTTTTTGCTACTTTCCAGGTCCACATTTCTGCAAACCAAAGGCACATTTTTCCTGTCTTTTTGGCAGGAGAGTAAAATAGAGTCATCCCGACCATCTCCAGCAAAAAAAACAAACACAAGCAAAACAAACACAGACTCAAGATGAAGGCACAGGAGGAAATCGCTATAATTCAATTACTATTATTATTATTATTATTACTATTATTATTGATTCTTGTGACTTGATCAGAAAGATCAAAATGTCAAATTCGTGAAATGAATCAAACTCCCATTAGTAAGAATTCCGATCAGTTTAGTGGGTCTATGACATGATGCCTCATTGCACACACTCTCTCTCGTATTTCAAGGGATTTTGACAGAGAAAATGAGCTCCAGATTAATAAATGGCGATGCTCATCACACAGCTAACTGCAAGCAGAAGCAGACGTGTGTACCATTTAAACCTAATATTCTGTTTCTAATCGTGTTTATTGCGAATCAAATTGTTCCATCAGCAATGAACTCGTTTGTGCACACTGTGGTGTGAACACTGTGCAGTGTTTTCCAGTCTGTTGCAAAATAGCAGACAGATAGGGAAAACTTCATTTTACATTACCAAGGAGCTCTTCGGTCTTCTAAGATCTGCTTAAACTGGTTTGTATCCTAAAGTGTAACTTAAAGGAAGATAAGTTCTGCATAAAGATCGCAATGCAGCATTGCCAAAACAGCCACAACCACGAATGTTCTCACCCAAGTGATTCTCATGCATGAGGTAATTGAAACCTTTACCAGTACAAAAGATGGAATTGGGATTAACAACAACAACAACTTGCTCAGTGGTTAGAGCATTCGCTTTGCAAGCAAGAGACTTGGGTTCGATTCTGAGCTGGGTGAAACCTTGGGCAAGTTTCCTTACTCCACATGCCTGATAATAATCCTTCAAAAAAACCTAATAATAAATTGGTCATTTCAATCCACGACAGTTTGTGGGACGCTGTTGTGCACAATTGGCTGCTGCATTTCCCCCACAAATATACAGTCAATTCACTTTACAGTCTATTCTGTGAAACACTTTGAGACATCTGGAAGACGTGAAAAGCGCTATATCAAATGCAAGGATTATTATTATTATATTATTATTTATAAAGTGCCCCTCACGCAGGACAGCATCTGTCCCAGAGCGCTTGACAGTGGGCAGAGCGATGATGCCAGTTAATACCAGAATCCAGGTGAAGTTGTAGTATAACTGAGTCACTTGGTATTTCACCCACAAAATACATAGTCACTCCACTTTACAATATATTCTGTAAATGCTTTGAGATATCTCAACGATGTGATAAGGCACTATATCAAATGTAAAAATTACTATTATTATATTTGCTTGTAAAGAGATATCTATGTCATTTTAGTATATAGCTCCAATCGTATTCTACTTCTGACTTTATTTGCTGAATAAGTTCATGCAAAATTGAAAATATAACCATTCAGTAATGAAACCTGGTCAAGTAGTTAGATGTGGTTTATAACCTTGAAAAATGTTATGAAACCAATTGAAAACTATGGAAAATAAAGTTTCATGTTTGCGATGTATCATTTGATAAATTACAATGTAGCCTTTTAGGGAAGACTTTCGTTAAATTATAGATTTAGACACCTCATTATGGTTTGATTTCTTCTAAATATTACTTTAATTGCAACAAATCTACTTAACAACCAAGTGGAAGAACTGAAACTGAACCAAATGAGGCCAAGAAAAGACTTGAACTGTAGATCAATATCGCCCCCTACTGACAGCAAACCTTAAAGAGGAAGTGTCATCAAAAAAATATCTTTTGTGAATTAGACAATAAGTATTCCAGCTATTTTTGCTAAATTAAATCCTAACTGTGTGTTAAAAGGAGCCTACAACACTTCAGCGCAATACAGTGAATTGCTTATGACGTTTAGCACTTGCAGAAGAATGGTGTGACTGGGGAGCACCAAATTGTCCAGACCGAGCACTGCTCTGTACTGAGCAAATAGGAGCACTGTGGATAACAATAATCCTTACATTTGATAATAGCACCTTTCTTGTCAGAAGGAAGTTTCAAAGCACTTTATAAGATATACTGCAAAGTGCAATGATTGTGTGTTTAGCGGGTGAACGCAGCAGTCAATTTACCCACACCAATGTCCCACAAACAGCCATGAGATTTTATTTGGCGGCTTGTTGGCCAGGACCATGGGATCTTTAATATCAGCCATGAAATTATTCAAAAAAAAAGGTAGTTTTACCTGATGTCTTGCTCCACAAGCCTCCAGATAAAGTTGGTCATTCACTTCATGACTGTTTGTAAGACTTTGCTATGTGCAAGTTCCCTGCATTTATAAAATGCTCAAAAACTACACTTTACAGTTAATTTTGTGAATTGCTTTGTGACATCCATATGGCAAGAAGTCATATCCAATGCGAGGATTACAAACCCATTTTCAACTGCAGCCGATAGGCTCATTAAATTCTAAAGTCACCTCCTGCAGGTCATTTTGTGGCTTTAGAATGAAAATCCAATCAATAGCCCTCTGCCCTAAAATAAATACTGGATATATATTACACATGTAGTGTTGATTGGATGTAGAAACTGCATTGAAATTCAGTGCTAACAGTAAAACACATCAAAGCAGTTTAGTACATTTCTCAGAAAGTTTTAAAAATTATATGTTTCTAAAGTTCAGAACGGCTGCAGTGATAATGCAGTTGGTGCAAACTCAAAGCAGTGTAAGACTGCCTCCTTGAGGTGATCCCAGAGAATAACTGTTATTTTGCAGAAAAATCTAATTTGTGTAAATTCACATTATTCCACATTGAGGCAATAGTTTGAGCTCTATTTTCAAAATAATTCAGTCAAGTTTGCATTGTTTATTCACAACACTTTAAGTTCAACTCTGTGCATGAACATGTATTCTGTTTTTACAATGTTACAATTTTCAGATTTTTGGACCATCAAATCGTAACACACTGTCAATGCTTCCATTGACTAGAATCTTTGTCCCTTAATTAATATTAATCGTTACATTTGATATAGTGCCTATCTTGTTGAAACATTTCAAATTGCTTTACAAGGATTTGCTGCTTTGTAAAGTACTTTGAGACATCTTCCCAACATATAAGGCTTTACAAAGCGCACATATAAACATGTATGTACATAAAAATACGCTCTGAACTTTCGAAGTTTTCAATTAAAATTTAAAAAACTTCACTACACTGCTTTGAAGTGTTTCATACTGCACAGTTGGCATTGAATTTCGACACAGTTACCACATCCAATCAACACTACACTTGCAGTATATAGCCAGCATTATTTTTTGGGGGGAGGGGTATTGATAATAATATTCTTTGTATTTGATATAGTGCCTTATCACGTCTTTGAGATGTGTCAAATTGCATCTCAGAATATACTGTAAAATTAATTGACTATATTTTGTGGGCAAAATGCGACAGACAATTGCGTACAGCAGAGTCCCACAAACATTCGTGGATTGAGTAACAAAGTAATATTTTTTTTAGGGGCTTATTACCCCAAGAAAAGTGATCTGTCAATTGACAAACAACCGGGTTCCTACTCACTGCTAGGTAAACAGAGGTGTGTGGAGTAAGGAAACTTGCCTAACGTTTCACCCTTCTCGGGAATTGAACCCAGGTCCTTTGCTTGTGAAGCAGTTTGATTTTAAGTATCAGTCACAATACATATTGTAAAGAACTTCTGTCACATTTAAGATTAAATAATTGTAGGTAAACATGCTAGCGAATTTGTGTACAGAGTGATTCAAGAAACAGCCATGAAGTCCATGATCAATTAATCGGTAGCCAGGATACAAAGGGAAATTCCCTTCTCTTTTTGAATATTGTCATGGGATTTTGAATATCCACCTGAATACACAGGGGGACCTTGGTTTAACATCTCTGGCAAGAAAGTCTTCTCCAGTTTTCTGTTGGAGCATCAACATAGACTGTGAGCCCAAAGTCCTGTTAGGGTGTATGACCTCCAACAATGCAGCACTGTTGTGGCGAATCAGTTAAGTCTGTGAATTCAGAATTAAAACGTTAATGCCTGTTGCATTGAGAACGTAGTAAAATTAGGATGATCGTGTCACAGCGCATATAACATTGTCTAATTCCACTGCAGTCCAGAT